TTTATGAATTTAAAACATTTCTCATTCGTATTTTCCTCCATTCTGATTACTGATGAATTTGTAGTCTTCACTGATTTCGATCCCTAAATGTCATTTAGAAATCGATACTATGAACGACTCTTCCTTCTAACAAATAAATACCGACATACCCGCAAAAATTGTTTAAAATATCTTCAGAATACATTAAAAAATCACTGAAATCGGTGAGGAAGCAGTTTACACTTTCACCCTTCGTATTGTACGTAATAATAAAAGAAAAGCAAGTTAAAGGGACATAGGCAAGTTTCGGTTTTCATGACGAAAGCGTAATTGCTAAAACCTAAAACACATGGTTGCCACATTTCTATTACTGTTCTGTTGACTCTATCAACGAGCTCAACCAAAATTATCCGATTTGATCGGAAGTATCGACTACCTGCAATCGAATCATTTGGGCAAAGTTTTATTTAAATAATATATAATAAACAATAATTAAAAGTATAATCTTTGTTTAAATAAAATTAAATAGAATTAAATCAAATCATTTAAATGATATCAGAAATAACTTAATTCATATTTTTGATTTTCAAGAAAATGCTTATTCCTTGTTTGAATTAGATAAAACAAAAATAATTTTTTTAAATTCTCATATACATTATATTGAATATGAAAAAAACCAAATGATAAAGTCAGGGAAATAATATCGTTGCTTTTCATAAATATAAAATTCATTTGTAAAATATAACATTTGAATGTTAACTCTTTTTTCGACAAATCTTCGTGATCTAAATATAAATATAAATATAAATATAAATATAAATATAAATATAAATATAAATATTATATTTTTAAATTATATTTTTAAAAATATTGTTATTATCATATTGATAGGCGAAAGAATTTATAGAAAAATTTCGAATAATATTTTGATTAATAAGTGTAATTTTTAACTAATGAATTATAGAATTTATGTTATTTGTCATAACCAATGCACAATTGCAATAATTGTTAAAAATTTGACGTAAATATGAATATGTAATGTGAGGAATATGTAAATGAGGATATATAATAATTTTAATATTTTAATAGTAATAATAATTTAAAATATTTGAAAATTTAGTTAGTTAAAAATTGTTTTTAAGAATGTTTAATAATACAACATAAATCATTTATACCATGTAATAATAATAAAAACCATGTATTAATAATTTTAAAATTTTATTTTACTATA